AGTAGTAACTGAAACAGCAGCACTATAATAAGTTTAACCATATGTTATAAAATTAATTTTATATAACACACAACCTTAAAATAAAAATAAATGGATTAAACAACAAAACATTTTAAGCAAAAATTAACAAAGCTTCTAATTTAAGAGGGCAATCAAGTTTTAAAATTAGTTTACTTTCCACATCCTTTGAGTTCTGAAATCACAAACTTATTAGAAAACTAAATGTTATGATCACATCAGACTCAAAACAAAATGCTACTGGAGAGACTTACTTACCAGGTGTTTTCTTCCGGCAAGATATCTGATTTACCATATATAGGTTAATGAGGTCTAAACTGACAGTGGAATTTTTGACAGGAGATAAAACTCCCAGTAATTTCATTTTTGATTTTAACCTTTTCTTTTCAAAATATTCCTAAAATAATTAAAAATAAAGTTATTGTAGCAACCATACGGTTTCAGGCAGAATCATAAATAATAGAAAGCAATAATGCTATGAAATAATTGACTTGATATTTTTATATTTCTGTAACATCCCTTTGACATGTTCACATATAAATTAAAATGAATCATAACTTATAGTTGCCCAAAGACTCTAAATTTCAGCCTCTTATAATCTTTCTTTTGTTAAGCATAATGCCTTTAACACAGAACTTTCTAAAGCCATTCTCAGGTATCAAAAGATACCGGATTAAAAATTATCTGAACGTAGGCCGGCCCTGTGGCTTGGTGGTTAAGTGCACGCGCTGCGATGCTGGTGGCCCGGGTTCGGATCCCGGGTGCGCATCGAGGCACCACTTCTCCGTTCATCCTGAGGCCAAGTCCCACATACAGCAACTAGAAGGATGTGCAGCTACGACACACAACTATCCACTGGGGCTTTGGGGGGAAAAATAAAAAAAAAAAAATTATCTGAACGTAAAAAGCTTTTAAAAATCTGATAAAACAAACCTGATAGGCTAAAAACTTGTTTTTCTGCAAAGTATGCTATCTTACAGATATAAAAAGGCTTAAAGATCCGCACAGCTGTGTGCCATTAAAAGTCAACTGAAATGAGAAGAGGAAAAGAAAAAGAAGCTATGTGAGAACTTATCTGCAGCCAAAGCTAATTTAACTCTCTTTGTTATCCCTCCATGACTCCTAGATTTTTTCTTAAACCAGACTTATACATAACTATCATTTTTCATCCAGTATTTATTTTATTCCTGATTGTTAGAGCTAGATTATTTTTTTTTTAATTTTATTTATTTTTTCCCTCAAAGCCCCAGTAGATAGTTGTATGTCATGGCTGCACATCCTTCTAGTTGCTGTATGTGGGACGCGGCCTCAGCATGGCCGGAGAAGCGGTGCGTTGGTGCGCGCCGGGGATCTGAACCCCAGCCGCCAGCAGCGGAGCTCATGCACTTAACCACTAAGCCACAGGGCCGGCCCTGAGATTATTCTTATTTTCATTCTTTTTCTCAGATTATATCCTTAATTTACCAAGTTCAAAGGCATTTATTTGTTTTACATTTATTTATTGAAAGGCATTTATTTGTTTTACATTTATTTATTGAGCAACCACTATGTATTAGACACTATAACAAATTGTGAAAACATCTTTTTCATTAAATAACTCATAATACAATGCCATAAACATGTCTATAAATGGTGAGATATCAAAAGTGAGAAAAGTTCAAGATGGCAAAAATTTAATGCAAGAGGAAATACCACTTATCCAAAAAGTTAAGGCTCTTTCACATTAATATTTCAGAATATTGTCAACTATGATAGACTTTCAAGATTGTAAAAAACTTAAGAACTATAAGAGACTTGCCAGCTATCAAGCAAAAAAGTAAATACCATATTTTTATGCAAAGTAACCACAGAAAAAAAGTGCTCACATTTCATTTGAGTGATTTGCAACCCCAAATTGAGGTTTCTTTAAAAAGATCACTCTATGGTTCAGCAATGAAATGACAGGACCTTCAGGATGTAAATATTTTTCCCCCTTAAAAACAATGACTATGGATCTTATAATTGATGGTGTCTTGGAAGTAAGATATTATTTCTTAAGGCACTGTACCTTGTGATGGATAAGACCATAATGAGAAAGACAATGACACAAATAATTACAACTGAGTGTGACAGGAGATGGTATAGGATCCTCCGGAAGGGTATGTAAACTATGGGTTGGTGGGGGAAGGGTTGGCAGAAGGAGGGCAGGAGGAGAGGGAAGTTTTCTCAGAAAATGATTTCTAAGATAGATGGATGAGTCAGAGTAAGCCAGAGGGTGGGAAGATAAGGTTCCAGGAATAAGGAAGAACAGTACAAACACTGACACAAACACTGTCTACAAAGAGGGTAAGCCTCTACTCCAGGGGGATACTGCTGAAGAGGTTGAATTCTCATCATCTATCCATCATGACAGCCTCTAATCTTTGTGTTCCTAGAAAGAACAAAGGTATGTAACTAATTGATTTACCTGACAAAGCTGGGTTCAATTTTTTTTAACAAGTCTCATTTGGTAGTGACAAATAGAAAATACTGGAAAACTTCCAGTAAATAATCAAATTTTAACTTGAAAATGGACATTTAAAATGAGCAGCCAGGGAGACAAATAAAATCTGAAGAATGTGTCAAAGAAAGCAAGGGAAAAACTTGTTTCAAGATGAAGGGAATGGGCAGTTCTCTGAATGAAGATTGTCCACTTTATGAAGTGTTAAATAAAGTTTGTATCACCAAAAAAAAAAAGATGAAGGTAATGGCAAAATACAGATGATGACATATTAAAGTATAGGAAAAATATCTTTGGAATTGAATAACATGAAGTTCAATTTTTTTTTAATTAAAGTTGACATACATTAAGGTAGTTTCAGGTGTACAACATAGTGATTTGACGTTTATATACATTACGAAATAATCACCACAATAATTCTACTAAAAATCTGTCATCATATAAAGTCATTATAATATTATTGACTATATTCCCTATGTTGTATATTACATCCCCATGACTTATTTACTTTATAACTGGAAGTTTGTACTCCTTAATCCCCTTCACCTACTTCACCCAACCCCCCACCTCCCTCCCCCCGGCAATGACCAGCTTGTTCTCCATATCTATGAGTCTGCTTCTGTTTTGTTTGTTCATTTGTTTTGTTTTTTAGAGTCCACATATAAGTGAAATCGTATGGTATTTGTCTTTCTCTGTCTGACATTTCACTTAGAATACCCTCTAGATCCACCTATGTTGCCACAAATGGCAAGATTTCATTCTTTTTATGGCTAATATTCCATCGTGTAAATATATACCACCTCTTCTTTAACAATTAATTTATCAATGGACACAGGTTGCTTCCATATCTCAGCTATTGTAAATAATGCTGCAATGAACATAGGGGTGCATATTTCCTTTCAAATTAGTGAGGAAGATTGGCCCCAACATCTTTTGCCAATCTTCCTCTTTTTTGCTGAGGAATACTGGCCCTGAGCTAAATTCTTAAATTCTTACCCATCTTCCTCTATTTTGTATGCAGGACACTGCCACAGCATGGCCTGATGAGCGGCACATAGGTCCTCGCCTGGGATCCAAACTCACGAACCCCGGGCCACCAAAGCGGAGTCCATGAACTTAACTGCTACACCACCAGGCCAGCCCCATATGTTAGTTTTTAAATTTTTTTAGAAACCTCCATACTGTTCTCTCCATAGTGGCTGCACCAATATACACTCCCACCAACAGTGCACAAGGGTTCCCTTTTCTCCACATCCTCACCAACACCTGATATTTGTTGTCTGTTGAGGATAGCCATTCTGACAGGTGTAAGGTGATATCTCATTATGATTTTCATTTGCATTTCCCCGAGGATTAGTGACGTTGAGCATCTTTTCATGTGTCTGTTGGTCATCTGCATGTCTTCTTTGGAAAAACGTCTATTCAGTTCCTCTGCCCATTTTTTAATTGGATTGTTTATTTTTTTGATATTGAGTTGTATGAGCTCTCTATATATTTTAGATATTAACCCCTTATCAGATATATCATTTGTAAATATCTTCTCCCATTGCCTTTTCATTTTGTTGATGGTTTCCTTCACTGTGTAAAAGCTTTTTAGTATGATGTAGTCTCATTTGTTTATTTTTGTCTTGTTACTCTTGCCTGAGGAGACAGATCCAAAAAAATATAAAGACTAATGTCAAAGTTTAGTGCCTACGTTTTCTTCTAGGAGTTTTATGGTTTCAGGTCTTACATTTAAGTCTTTAATCCATTTTGAGTTTATTTTTATATATAGTGTAAGAAAGTGGTCCAGTTTCATTCTTTTGCCTGTAGCCGTCCAGTCTTTCCAACATCATATTGAAGAGGCTGTTTTTCCCCATTGAATATTCTTGCCTCCTTTGTCGTAGATTAATTGATCATATATGTGTGGGTTTATTTCTGGGCTCTCTATTCTGTTACGCTATCTATGTGCTTGTTTTTGTGCCAGTATCATACTGTTTTGATTACTACAGCTTTGTAATATAGTTTGAAATCAGGAAGTGCGATACCTCCAGCTTTGTTCTTATTTCTCAAGATTACCTTGGCTATTTAGGGTCTTCTGTGGCTCTATACAAATTTTAGGATTATTTGTTCTGGTTCTGTGAAAAATGCCAATGGTATTTTGATAGGGATTGCACTGAATCTGTAGATTGCTTTGGGTAGTATGGACATTTTAACAATATAAATTCTTCCAACCCATGAGCACAGTACATCTTTCCATGTATCTGTATTGTCTTCAGTTTCTTTCATCAATGTCTTACAGTTTTCAGAATACAGATCTTTCACCTCCTTGGTCAAATTTATCCTTAAGTATTTTATTATTTTTGATGTAATTGTAAATTGGTTTTCTTAATTTCTCTTTCTGATAGATTGTTATTAGTGTATAGAAATACAACAGATCTCTGTGTATTAATTTTATATCCTGAAACTTCACTGAATTCATTTATTCTAATAGTTTTTTGGTGGAGTCTTTAGGGTTTTCTATATATAGTATCATGTCATCTACAAACAGTGACAGTTTCACTTCTTCCTTTCCAATTAGGATGCCTTTTATTTCTTTGTCTTGCTAATTGCTGTGGCTAGGACTTCCAATACTATGTTGAATAAAAGCAGTTAGAGTTGGCATTCTTGTCTTGTTCCTGATCTTAGAAGAAATGTTTTCAGCTTTTCACCATTGAGTATGATATGATGTTAGCTATGGGTTTGTCATATATAGCCTTTATTATGTTGAGCTATGTTCCCTCTATACCCACTTTGTTGAGAATTTTTATCATAAATGGATGTTGAATTTTGTCAAAAGCTTTTACTGCATCTTTTGAGATAATCATATGATTTTTATTCTTTGTTTTGTTAATTTGGTGTATCACACTGATTGATGTGTGGATATTGAACCATGCTTGGGATAAATCCCACCTGATCATGGTGTATGATTCTTTTAATGTACTGTTGAATTCAGTTTGCTAATGTTTTGCCGAAGATTTTTGCATGTATGTTCATCAGGGATATTGGCCTGTAATTTTCTTTTTGTAGTGTTTTGTCTGGTTTTGGTATCAGGGTAATATTGGCCTCATAGAATGATTTTGGAAGCATTCCTTCCTCTTCAACTTTCTGAAATAGTTTGAGAAGGATAGGTATTAATTCTTTAAATGTTTGGTAGAATTCACCTGTGAAACTGTCTGGTCCTGGACTTTTGTCTGTTGGGAGTTTTTTGATTACTGAGTCAATTTATTATTAATAATCAGTCTGTTCAGATGTTCTATTTCTTCCTGATTCAGTCTTGGAAGACTGTACGTTTACAGGAATTGATCCATTTCTTCTAGATTGCATAATTTGTTAGCACATAACTTTCATAATAATCTCTTAAGATACTCTGCATTTCTGTGGTGTCAGTTGTAACTTCTCCCTTTGATTTCTGATTTTATTTATTTGGGCCCCCTCTCTTTTTTTCTAGATGAGTCTGGCTAAAGGCTTATCAATTATCTTTTCAAAGAACCAGTTCTTAGTTTCACTGATCTTTTATATTGTTTTTTTTAGTCTCTATTTTATTCATTTCCACTCTGATCTTTATTATTTCCTTCCCCCAGTAACTTTGGATTTTGTTTGTTCGTCCTTTTCTAGTTCCTGTAGGTGTAAGATTAGATTGTTTATTTGAGATTAATCTTATTTCCTGAGGTAGACCTACATCACTATAAACTTTCCTCTTAGAACTGCTTTTGCTGTATCCCATAGATTTTAAAACTGCGTTTCCATTTTCATTTGTCTCAAAGTACTTTTTTATTTCCTCTTTGATTTTTCCAATGACCGACTGGTTGTTTAGTAGCATGTTGTTTAGACACCACGTTTTTGTGTTCTGTCCAGCTTTCTTCTTGCAGTTGATTTCTAGTCTCATACCATTGTGGTCAGAAAAGATGCTTAATATGATTTTAATCTTCTTAAATTTATTGAGACTTGTTTTGTGACCTAACATGTGCTCTATCCTGGAGAATGTTCCATGTGCACTTGAAAAGAATGTGCATTCTGCTGTTTTTGGATAGAATGTTCTGTATATATCTAAGTCCATCTGTTCTACTGTGTCATTTAAGGCCAATGCTTCCTTATTGATTTTCTGTCTGTATGATCTATGAAGTTCAATTTTGACATTAGCAAGAGCTGTATAGTGAAATGGACTGAGAAGTGAATGGGAGACAAGAGTGAAGGAGCAAAGAAGGAAAGGGAAAGGATCCAGAGAGGGCTTTACTTGTTTAATAGGAGAGAAATGAGTATGTCTGAATATCAATGGAAAGCTTCCAGTTGACAAGAAGTGGTTGAAGATACAAGAAAGGAAAGAAGTAATTGATGCAGTGAGGTCCCTGAGAAAGCAGAAGTAAATGGAATCCAGAACACAGACAGAGAGTCCTTCCTTTGACCAGAGGAAACTACTTCCATAGCTACAGGAGGGAAAGAGAAAATGGATGAAGACGGAAGATGGTTTACAAAACTGGTGGTAGAAATTTGAGATAATTCTCATCTGATAGCTTTTATTTCCTCTGAAATATGATACAAGGTCATTCAATGAGTAGGAAGGGATAAAGAATAGTGTTAGGAAGGAGAGGTCTGAGGAGGCAAAGGAAGGCATGAAATTTTCAAAGAATAGGAAAGTGACATGACTAGAGATCAACACTTTGGGAAGAGCCACGTGTCTTTCCCTTTCTGATTAATATTCAAAAGAATGATCCAAAGAGAGTTAGATTATTTTTTAAAAATAGTCTGTGAGCAGACTTCATTCATAGTCTATTAATTATTGAGTGTCTATGTTATAGACGCAATTCTAGGCACAGGAGATACAGAATGAACAAAAGTGGTAAGATCCTTCTTCTCATGAATATATTTTAATGGGGGGCACAGAATAAACAAATTTATAAGAAAATATCAGATTATGAAAAGAGGGATAGATTAAAGAGGGTAAAGGAGAGGGAGTAACTGGAGGGTAGGGAGCTATTTAGCTGTAGTGGTCAGAGAAAGCCAATCTAAGAGGAGACACGAGCTGAGACCCAAATGTTGACAAGCCAGACATGCAAATATCTCGAGGGAGACTATTCCAGACAAAGACAAGAACAGTGGCAGAAAGAAGGTCAGTGTGGCTGAAATAAAATGAACAGGACAAGTAGTAAGAAATGAGGTCAGAGAAGCAGGCAGGGTGCAGATGCTTCTGGTCCTTTTAGAATATGGTTAAATCAGATATTATTCTAAGAGCAATGAAAAGTAATTGAGGCTTTTAAGCAGAGGAATGATAAATTCTGATTTGTGTTTTTAAAAGATCGTACTAACTGCTGTGTGACAAACAAATTACAAAGGAGTAAAAGATAAAGCAGAAAAAAACTGATAAATTCAATTACATTAAAATTAAGAACTTTCCTTCAAAGACAGCATTAAAAAAGTAAAAATAAAAGCCACAGAATACACATATAAGTGACAAGGAATTCCTAAATATATAAAGACACAATAAGAAAAAGACAAACGACTCAAATAAAAAATGAAAAAAATACTTGTAAAAGTACCTGACAAAAGAGGAAACCTGAATGACAAGATAGTCTCATTAGTAATCA